AAGTCCTGGAACCATTCGTGGGGGACGTTGACCAAGATGGCCCAAAACAGACAGAGCTGGAGATCCTTTGTTGCCGCCCTAAACGTCAGATGGTGTAACGGTTAGTAAGTAAGGAATAACTTCATGTGACCAAAAATAGACGAACGCCTGATTCAATCGCGTCGTGACTCATACAACAATCTACAAACATTTTCATTTTGTTTCTGAGAAAGATGTGTCATAGAATTTACGAATGACTAGACTAAAATTTGTCTGTCCTCAGAGAAAGTTGCATTTGAAAATAGCAAACTTTGCAAAGAGTTGCAAAGCAACAAACATGAGTTTTGTTAGATCAAAATCAAAATTTAAATGTGTACCAAAAAAAATAATATAAAAGGGGGTGGGGGGTTGCATGGAGTACATTTGAACAGTTTGTCCCCAGACAAAAATGAATCAGGTCCGTTAAACACTCCCTGACGTTGGGCAGGTTTGATCAGCATGGGTTGGGGCTGTTCAAATATAATCTTACACCTTCTTTGGAACTTTTGGCCCCCCCCTCCCCTGTACACTTTTTTACATTCCCCCAAATCCCGTAATAATATTATTAATTATTCATTTATAATAATAATTATTCTGACATTTTTATATTGCGCATATATAGGGTAACAATCATTCTTCTACGCGCTTTACTTTTACATTATAATAGTATTCATGAAAAACATGCAGACACACACATGTGACATAATAATTAAATACGGCACAAGCGGAACTTTTCCGTAAAAACTTATGGTGTCATTTTACCACTTTAATCGCACCAGTGTAATCAAAATTAGACTAGATCTACATGTCATGTAGCCTAACATTTGATTACTTGATCCTGGGAACAACATCATAGCACTCCGGGCTTTGCCATACGTGCTCCGCTCCCCGCTCCAATTATATCCACCCCAGAGTCCATGTAGCTTACCACCAGTGTATAAAGTGCGAGATGGCAGAATCGTGCTTGCCGCTCGAGGACCTACTGTATTGCCACAATGCCGTACTTACTGCTCTAAGTGAATAATATTATAGTTACTCCTTTTTAATGTTATTTCTTTTAAAAATTAGGATGTCATAAATTATTGTCCTTGTTATTTTTCCACCTTACAAAAGAGTAATCTTACATGGGTCCAAGACAACCCCCCCCTCCTTTTTCTTACACTTTTCTTTTACAAGAGTCAAAGATCCCCCCCCCCCCCCTTTCAAGTCGTAAGATTATATTTGAATGTCCACTTTCGGGGTTTTCTGGATGAATCGCTCCATGTCTAGATCTACCCACCTAGCCTAAAATTTAAAGTCTTTCACAAATTATTATATTGTAGATCGATCTACTTGGTGCAACGGAACCAAGCAAGCTAAGAAATCAGCCGATCGTGTTTACGATTGATTTACTCTAGATCTAGATCTAGCTAGAAGAGTATTCAGTCCAAACAGGACTATTTGGGGTTCGGGTCGGCTTGTGTCGGTTTGCTTGCCAGATTGATGGCGCAAAGCGGCTATCGTGGCACAAGTCATTTGAGACAACAATTCGAGCAATCATCCCGACCCGCCCCGATCCATCCACAATGGGCAGGCATGCACCCCGTAGTGCAAAGGAGCAAATTGTCCCCCTTGGCGTCGTTATTTTTAGTCGAGGAAGAAAGTTTAGGTGTTTTTAACCAAATTTTATTATTTTTCCAACTTGGTTTGCGGAAAATTGGCTAAAATTCGCGTATTCATGAAAATGTCAAAAGCTGTGCTGAGGGCAAAAGTTGCGCATGCAAGTTGCAGCGCTAATTTCTTTGAGGACAAATTTATAGAAAGTAGAAGAATCCCTTTGCTATAACACTAAATATAGATATAGATCTATATATATCATGTATGACATGAAACCTAGAGTCTAAACAATATTTTAACTGACAGATTAGAACTAAAATAAAAAGGCCGGCTCTATTTCTCCGAACTTTCGGGACAATAAACTTGAACTCAATTTCTCCGAACGGTTACCGCTCTCGAGATTTGTTGATAATAAGCAAATGGAGACGCCTGTGTGTGTGTGTGTGTTAGTGTGTGTGTGCGTGTGTGTGAGTTTGCGGGTTGGTGTGCGAGTAAAGTGTAAACAGGGGGAGGGGGGGAGGGGTGGCGTGGAGGGATTTTTTTTTACAAGAAGGATTTTAGTTTTTGCTGGGCGACTAAATGCAAAATAGGTTACTGCCAAGGTCAAGCAGTCTAGTTTTCCCGCAGTACCTTTTGAAGGTATTTTCAAATTAAGTATAGTCCGAGAACGTTGCCCCAACCACAACTGAAGTATCTGAATATTCAGACATTTAAAAATCTCTAGCTCTAGAAATAGAATTCAATACAAAAAATGCTTCTTCCCAGTCCTCGCAGAATGGCAGAATGGCAGAATGAAAGGAGGACGCCTAAATCTCGCAAATAACCAAAAAATCTCCAGATCGGAAACCGTTCGGAGAAATAGAGTTCAATTTTATTTTCCTGAACGTTCGGAGAAATAGTCACTTCGAAATAAAAATTGGTAAACAATCTCCAATTAGTCCAACCATGGCCTCCGAGACTATTTTGTATCACAAGTTGAAGATAAGATCCATGACAGCTGTAAGCAACCGTATTAATTTTTTTGCAAGTGGCTATTCTCCGGCGTTGCGCCCGTCTATAGATCGGAAGCTATTCGCCGGCGTCTACCTTTCATTATATTTATATTTTATCTGTGTTGTCCAGCATAAAACTTTATTCATTTATTTCCGTTGTCAATTTGCTTATTTTAAAATACTTTATTTGAAAGAACAAAATTGATTTTGCGTCTAAAATCCTGCCTTGTCAAAGAGTATAGCCTGCTGTTTAACTTACTTCTTGTTGTTGTAATTTCCGATAAACTTAACTGATATTTCGCGACCAGTGCTTTCTTGTGGTATCTCCATTTTTGTAAACAGTGAAAATGTGACTCCTTCTTATGCTCACACTTAGTTATGAACTCACGTCACTAGTGGAGAACACGTTTCTTCTAGCACCCAACATAATTCGAAATTGGAGGAATTGGGGCAGTTGGTGTCTGAAAACCTATTGTCTGTATCAATGGAAGTGGCATGAAGTGGTGAAATTGTGGGAATTTTTTCCCAAGACAAACAGATGAGAGAGGTATTTACAAATCTGCGCCGACAAATTATTAGTAATAGACCGGCGGCGGCGCGCCGGAGAATAGCGTCTGATCTATTGACTGGCGCGACGCCCGAGAATAGCCACTAGCAATTATTTTTTAAAGCATGCCATCATTACATTATTATTATTATTAGATCTAATCAAGATTCTAGATCTAGATCTATATATTAATTTTAAACTAAATCATGTGACTAGATCTAGATTTAGAGACAAAGACTGATACTAAAACGTTATATAGGGGGTGCCCACATACGCCACGATCGGGTCGGGTCGGGTCGGGTTGGGTCGGGCCGCTTTCTTGTGGTTCAGTGCACACTACAACCCTGCCACGATTGTACCCGACGACCTGGAAGTTAAAGTAGGGAAACCTTTAACCTACATATGCGACTACACAGAGGGGGTAAACTGGGCTACGATTGGCTGAACCTTTACTTTAACCCATGAATAAATTAAGTACCGGTAGGCCTACGGTACTCTTGGACTTCCCGCACTCCCTCTCTCTGTCTCCCTCAGTGTGTGTGTGTGTGTGTGTGTGTGTGAGTGTGTGAGTGCTTGCTTGCTTTAGTGCCTCTCTCCTTTGTTATCTTTCTCACTTCCCATTAGAGACTTAAATGTAAACATTGCTACGTCTCTGCTTAGATCTATCTCTAAACTTCTCTCTCACTCCCAGTCACTCTCACCACCCTCCCTCTGTAGTGCTCCTCCTCCTTTCGTTTTTTTCTTCCTCTAGGACTCTAGGCCTATGAGTGCTCCAAACCCGCAGTGAGAAGTGAGAAGACGGTCAAAGGAGTGAGACCGAAACCAGGAATTCCCAGCCTACTTAATGTATTCATGGGTCAAAACGGACACATGATTGAGTCTTGTTGTGATTGGCTGAAAACCACTCAATCGCGCCATTCGCAGGCCAGAAAACAAATGCGTTTGTTTTTGTAGGTTAACGATCGTGTCGACCGGTTTGAGCCATTGGCCGCTTTGCGCCCTACCGCGCCCTCAATTTGGCTAGCCCTGACTACCCGATGGGCCCGACCCGACCCGATCGCGTAAGTGGGCACCCCATATTAGATTGGTGATCTTGTAGTTCCATTCGTTAAAGTCCACTATCCATTTGTTTAATCCAGAGAAGAAATCCAGAAGTCTTGAAGACCAACTATTTGAATTAGGCTACACAAAGAGCAGGGATGCAACCTAACTGCAAACATCAAATTAGGATAAAATTCAGGGGGGCATGCCCCCCTGAACCCCCCCCCCCCCCACCTCCATTTTTATTAGGTCAAGGGGGGCTGAAAACCCCCTGCCCCTACTCTTGACACTAAACTTTAATGAGAACGAAACTACAAAATTGACTTTCGCGTTAGACTTTATTTACTCTTAAGACTTAGAATCTAGATCTAGATCTAGATAGGTCTACCTCAGAGTTGATAAATTGACATCAAAGTTCAAAATCTAGATTTAGATCTAGATTCTAGATCTACTAGATCTAGATCTAGTGTAGTATACACCTACTACTACTGTCACCACTGACAAGCACTAAAAATAAGGCTAGATTGTAAACCAAGAAGAGATTCTAACTAGATGTCTAGATCTATTTAATGTCGACAGCCGGTTTACTTACATCACACTGCACACTAAATGACGTCTTAAGACAGATCATCAGACCAAGATTCCAAGATAGATAATCTAACAAAACCCCGACACAAACTCAAACTCAACTTGCTACACTCAATCATACGCCATTCACTGGGTCACAACACAGAAAGTTCCACAAACACAAACAATAACGGTAACAGTGAAACAAACTTACAGAAAACGGCTAAACAAAGACGCACCTTGTTATGAAAATACTGTTGACACAGTTTCCGTGTTTTGATTCATGCCAAGAATAGATTATACGCTTCCGAAGTCCGAAGCCCTAGATCTTGATCTCGACTTCGTTTGAGCGTTTCTGTTGTTTAGATAAAATTGTCAGTGTCACATGATTTCAGCACTCTTATCTCCCTTTATTTTTTCCCATTCTCTGTTTTCAAAAAGAAGTTAGAAACAGTCTCTTTCGTCTCCATCTATGTAGGCGTCTAACAATAACATATACTTTATGTCTACGCCTTTGTTTTAAGCTTGATCGATTGGGGAATAAGTGAAACTGTAGATTGGATTTCAATACTTTTATTTGCCATTTTAATTCTCAATAAAAAGTAGTAATATCACTGGTCAAAGAAAGTGTGGTTTGATTTTAAAATCCCAGAAAACAGACGTAATTCAATGTAGCAAATCAAGGATTCCACATGGATTTTCTTTAATTTATTTTGTCACAAACTTTCTTATAGGTCTAATACTAGTAATACGCCCCTGCGACTCAAAGCGCTATGTCAAGTAGCTTATTTTGTGTGGCGTCGGTGGCCTAGTGGTTAGGCTCTCGGGCTCGCAACCGTAAGGTTGTGGGCTCGAATCCCGTCAGGGGCCCGACGTTGTGTCCTTGGGAAAGGCACTTTACACGAATTTTCCTCACTTCACCCAGGTGGGAATGGGTACCCGGCTATAGACAGCGAAAGATCTTGTCAGTTTGTTAGTGTTTGAGCGCTTCATCGGCTGTTTGCACTGTATGCTTCTCGGGAAGCTGAGAATGTTTCGGAGTGTTCTATGGTCTGCTGGGGTAATAATATAGTGTAAAGCGCATAGAGCCTGCTGTTGAGCGGGGATATGCGCTGTACAAATGCTATCTATTATTATTATTATTATTATTATTATTTTAAAATCAAGCAAATGAGAAGAGAGGCTGTAGGTACGATATTCCTTAGGCTTCCAAACTTTTAATTTCGTAAGTAACTGGAAGGGGAAAAGGCACTTCATTCGCGTGTATGCAAGCACAGGCACAGACACGCACACACATATACACACTCATACACACACACACACACTCACACACACACACACACACACACACACACACACACACACACTCACATACTCTCTCTCTCTCTCTCTCTCTCTCTCACACACACACACACACACACACACACACACACACACACACACACACACACACATACATACATTCAGAGAGAGAGAGAGAGGGGGATCTCGAGGAGAGAGAGAGAGAGAGAGAGAGAGAGAGAGAGAGAGAGAGAGAGAGAGAGAGAGAGAGAGAGAGAGAGAGAGAGAGAGAGAGAGAGAGAGAGAGAGAAATACAATCCCAGAATATTTCATTGGGAGGAACTGAGAATAAATAAGGGAGAGCGCTCCATGTGTCATAGCCTCACAAAGGAGGTCTTTACAACACAGTTCGACTTAGTGTAAGCTAATTCAAGGGGTTAATTCTTTAGCCCTATCCGTACACTGTGTTTTACTATCGTATCCATGCGACATGGGGAACTCTGTGCCACCTCTTTCCGAAGAGGAAATTTACTCGTTAATCCGATCCGTGCGCTTTGCATAGCAGTCTGTCAAAATGATTATTAATTTTTTTTAGAAATACCGTACTGAAAGTTTAAGAGACATCTTCGTATTAGAAGCATTCTAAAATGTGAAGAATACAACCCCGGGGGTGCAAAATGACCCCAATGGTGTACGGATAGGGTTAAATACTCAGCGGACAAGTGTGTGCGACAGCAGACAGAGGGTCATAATATATTGCTGCACACATAGAATTATTATACAAATCAGAAACACGAATTCGCTTTTTTCATAGTACGCATGTTGTAGTTTTCCTTTTTAGATTTTCAAATAAAGAAAATTAATTTTAAAAATCTGTACGAAAGATGAATTTATGCTTCTTCTTTTTCCTTTCCCCCCTTTTTATTTTCTTAAGTGCCCCAAAACAGAACACCAGGAGTTTTTTAAACGCCAGAATGCGCGTCTTCAAAGCGTCACTATTATTTTATTTTCAATCAGTGCAAACGAGTACTCTGGCCGTCGCAAGGCTGAGGGGAATTCCCTCCGCTGATATCCGGACGGCTGGTTAATTATGCTTGATAAATATGGGGTAGAATAGGAAAATGTTTGAGACAACTTTAATATATTATTATATAGAAATGAAGTCTGCTCGATTAACTAAAGATTTGCTAGCAGCGAGCGACTCGCAGCTTATACCCAACGGACACTGCCAGTCTGATTAATTTGATTCAGTCGGGTCCAGGCACATTCACCTTCAAGAGAAGGACAAAAACTACCATATTGGCACAATTGGACCGAATTCGATTGAATTCGATTGTGACCTTCAAAATGAAACTCGTTTGCTTTTCAATGTTGCAAGTAGAACTGGTCGTAGCCATCAGATGTGAACAGTTAGTCTCAAGGTTTGTGAGTCTTCAATCACAAGGCCGGGGTCATATTTTACTCCGCTCGGAATTCAGTAAAGGACGAGCTGCTGTAAATGATTTGCAAAGGCTGAAACAAAGTTATCGATATTTCATATGTCTTTGAAACTCAAGAACTTCTCAGCACAGCAGCCTCGGTATGTGGTAATCGTTACCCATTGAATGAAATGGCTTTGTTGTGAACGGTAAGTTTTGTGTGCATAGCCCCCACACAAGCGCACACATACATACTAACTCAAATACACACATTGTCACGCACAAACACACACACACACACGCGCGCGCGCGCGCACACACACACACACACACACAAACACACACGCACACGAATTAGTACACAGCTCACATTAGCGCGCGAGGGTACTGAGACAGTGATACAGTGAGGAGTGTGGAAGCGTAAGTTTTCTTGTCCCGCTATTCCACTTGAACAAAGTCTACTAGAATCTAGATGTTCGTTTTCTGTTGGCAATACTGTCTACTTGGTGCAGATATCAACAACACAATAATAACTACATTGTACGTACATATCTTGTACTACATGTACTAAACTAGTCACTGGTAGGCCTATTGGCACTGGCGAAAAAGAGACACGTGAGTGGTTGGCGGGTGCTCTGGTGTGGTTTGTTCCTTCTTTCCTATCAAACATCTATCGTCCTTATCTCCCTTTGTTCTTTTTTATGTTTGTTACTCTCTTGTAACACCTCTAATCTTCTGGCGCTCAATATGACCTTATGCAGTTGAGAGCGCTGTAAAACCTCTACTAAAAATAAAACTAAAGAAAAAGAGACACGTTCCCTAATCGACGGTAATGTTCTTGATGTGTTCTCGTCTTATCACCTGCTGAGTGCCATCTCTCTGGTTCGCTCACACCTTGTCCCACTCAAAAAAATAGTACAGATATTAGTATCCTTTCAAGCATACGTGTCTGGAAATAGGACTACGGGTTTGTTTGTTTGTTTTTTGCCTCTAGATCTGTCTACAGTAGCAGTTGTTATCAGGTCTTCTAGTCGTGGTCTGTCTCATCTCTGCGCAATTGAAAAAAATCTCTCTTCTTTTCTTCATCATATTTCTTTTCACGTCTCCCCCCCCCCCCCCCCCCCTTCCCTTATTGTTTTTTTGTTTTTTTCAATCCTTGCCACCGATGTCTATGGTGTGGCAGTTAAGCGCTTCGCCGCCTCACACAGGAGACTCGGGTTCGATTTCCAAGAGGGTAGAATTTTTATCTTTCAGCTGAAATGTTGTATCTCTCTCGTCCTGGTTTGACCCTGACACCCAGGCAAAGTCAAAACTCACCTCCTAATTTACATAAATTATGTAGATGGGAGCGTATAAAATAAATTACTTTTAAAACAATAAAAAATAAAATTGAGGCCCTTGTTTTCATCCTCCATCTTCTGTTTCTCTTCACCTACCACAGTCACATACCCACTTTCACTTTTCCCCCTTCTCGTTCTGCTCCTTCATCTTTCTCCCGTTCGACTCAACGTGTACGGTGCACACTGACAATTAATTTTGATTTAGATCTACGTGTAAATCTATTTGACATAGTCAGGGTCCACCAGATTTTCTTTCAAGGGAGAGGCAATAGCTACCACTTTGGCACAGTGCGACCGATTCGACTCACGACTTTGAAGAATAAACATGTTTGATTTTGAAGTTTACTGTCGAATTTAGTTGAATTCAGTCGTATTGTGCCAAAATGGTAACTTTTGCCCCATCCATGAAGTACAAATTTGGCAGAACTCGACTCAATCAAATAATGAATCCGATCGACAATGTGCACAATAAAGTGTTGCAATGTTCTGTATTCCGTCCAACCTTCTCTGACGGCCTCCTTTCTAAGACAATCACCCAAGGGCGGTTCGTTACCTGGACAAGACCGGAGGCGCCTGTCACTTTTTGGGGCTTGAAAAGTGGTAGAGCTGGGCGAAGAATCGATTCCAGAACCGATTCCCAAGATCAATGTTACGAGAGAAAAGTTCTGAATTCTTTTTGTGTAAACCAGCAGTTACCAGTTACTTTAATCATTAAAGTCTTCTTTTTTTTTAGAATTTATTTTGGAAAAATAAAAGGTGATGCTTCAAAGTGTTCCGAAATCAAGGTTATCCTAAATCCCGAAAATGTTCGCAGCCAACTAGATAACCACCGGAAGAAATCACATCATTATAAAGTAAGTAATTAGGTTCGGAGTCAATTCGTACGATTCCTAGAGTTCAATAATCGGGAACCTAGCCGCCCAGCACTAGACAAGAGTCGGATCGCTGATTAGCCTATAATTTCCATTCAGTTTCAACGAAATTCAAACTTTCTCAACAAACCTCTTCTTTCACGAACGACAAGAAGTTGAAGAAGGTGCTAGGCCCCTATGGTCAGACCCGTGCCACAACACACGTCTATTATCAATAAAATTGCTACTCGAATCACACTATACATAAAGTCAACTATTTTATAGTTTTTGTAAGTTTTACGGTATTTGCAACACAATTAGGTCACATAAGTGTACACAGAATGGAGGTTTTACTAGATAGTAATAGTAACATACAAAAATAAAACAAGGAGAGATAAGGACAGTAGATGTTTGATGGGAAAGAAGGAGTGAACAACACCAGAGCACCTGCCAATCACCCAAAGTCAACTCTGTCTTTAAAAAAAACAACGATACACACTTGTATCAACAGTCAAAGGCGTTTATTGTGAATCATTACGTGGTACTCTAAATTCTGACATAAACACATTATGGAAAACCCTTTGACAGATGAACAACGAGCAGGTTTGCATGGATCTAACAGGGGATCTTCCATTTGCCTTTCCGTCATCTAGGCCTCGTCGGCGAGCTGCTCAAATGTTTTAAGCCCAGGAAGCAATATTTTTTTCAAGAGAAAAACAACCCCAAAACAAAAAAATCAAACAGAACAGAAAAAAAACGACCAAAAAAAACCAGCAAACAGAAACGAAACGCTTTTTTTTTTACATTTAGAATTTAATTTCGACAAAATATTTCACGAGCACACAATGTAACAAATACCTCAATTAAAGAAATTTTAATTTAAAGAAAAATAAAGAAAGATGTACATAAAAGAAAAAAATATTTGGGCTAGATGCTTTTGAACAGCCGGCCAACAATTTAGACTTCATGAGGTGACGATAGATTGATGTAACGACCGAAAAAGTTGGACTCAAGACAACGAATGGCCCAGTAGGTTCTCGGGTTGGTGTGCGGTGTGGGCGGACACGACCTGCCAGCTCTTGACGTGTCTGTCTCAGTTCTCAGGAGAGAAGCGGAGGACTGTGTTCCTCTTGGGTGGGTCTGGGTAGGTCACGTTGTAGTGCACGGGGACTAGGTCCGCGTCGCAAACGCCAATCAGCTGGGGATATTATTTATGGCAAAATTAACCATAATA